CTTAGCGGTGGCGACGTGAAGTCATGTGACCATGCTGTAGTTCCTTTATAGCCCAACATTAGCCGCCTTTAGCTTAGCGGTGGTGACGTGAAGTCATGTGACCGTGCTGTAGTTCCTTTATAGCCTAACATTAGCCGCCTTTAGCTTAGCGGTGGTGACGTGAAGTCATGTGACCGTGCTGTAGTTCCTTTATAGCCCAACATTAGCCACCTTTAGCTTAGCGGTGGTGACGTGAAGTCATGTGACCGTGCTGTAGTTCCTTTATAGCCAACATTAGCCGCCTTTAGCTTAGCGGTGGTGACGTGAAGTCATGTGACCGTGCTGTAGTTCCTTTATAGCCAACATTAGCCGCCTTTAGCTTAGCGGTGGTGACGTGAAGTCATTTGGCCGTGCTGTAGTTCCTTTATTATTTAGTAGTCTTTACCTGGATGCTGTGATACACACGTCTGTCAGTATAGTATGACATTTTTTCTGATGGTCCTACCTGTCACCTCGGTCTGGAAGTTCATTTGACCGACGGGGGCGTTTTCGGAAACCATGAGGTCGCCCTGCGGTGAGTTTACCGTCACAAACAGCCGGTGATCGATGGCTATCCCCGTCACCCACTGCACCTGAGAGCACATATTAAACAAGTCCAAGAGTTGTATTCAGAGCCTTTGAAGTACAAGTACAAATACAGCAATGTGGACTTTTTTGCACAAAACCTTCGAATCTTGGAGTATTTCCACTTTATGCTATACAATTATTCCACTTTTACTCCACCAGGTTGTTGACATCCTAATACACAAGTTACAACACTTAAAGTACATTGTTATGCTAATCCTTTTGTATTTCACCTTGAATTACTTTTTACTTTTTGACACGTTATCAGTATTTCTGCCGGTATGGGAACACTGATCCTGATCACATGTTTCAAAGTCAAACGGGTTCACCTTGACAGTCAGAGTGATAAGCCTGGAGATATTCAGATATTAAACTAAAATACAAATACCACAAGTAAATGTTACATTAAAAGTCCTGCATTCGGTCTCTTAAGTACAATTACAATGTGTCAGCATCCAAATGTACTTAAAGTAAAAGTACATACAGTAATTTGCACTAGAGTAAATGTACCAAGTTCAGTTATTATGCTCCAAATATCTGGAACAAACTCCCAGAAATCTATCTATCACTCTATCTATCCCTCTATCTATCCATCTCTCTATCCATCTATCTGTCTATAGAGAGTTTTTCCTCAATAACCCTCTAATTAGTGCTTATTTATTGCAAGCAAGGAAGTTGTTGTACATTAGTTCAGGTCTTAATATGCTCAATATGGGCCTAATAAGGCAGCAGTACCACAAGAATAGTAATTCTCCCATAATGCCTAACAAATATGGTCTATTCTTATGTAACATGTAACATCCAACTACAAGTGTTAATTGTGTCAAAATAACTCAAAATTAGGTACTTGTTAATAAACAATAAGCTAGTAGTTTGACTCTAATATGTATGTTGTTATTTATCTTCTTTACTTGCAAAGCGCTTTGAGCACCAGGAAAAGTGCTATAAATAACATGTATTATTATTATTATTATTATTATTGTGTTAATTAACAACTAGTTGATGTTGAATAAGTGTACCTTAAGATAAAGTGTTACCGTATATTTTGTACTTTTAATGCTCAATAAATATATTTTTAAAAAACAGTCATTAGTGCAGGTTAACCGTAAAAGCTCTCACCATGTAGGACAGGTAGAAGCTTCCACTCTGGTGTGCAAAGTGCCAGAAACACTCCTCTCCTGCAGCAGCAACTTCCACAGCAAAGTCATATTTGTCGGATCCTCTGAATAACCCTCCGTCGGACTCATGGAGCGACGGCTCTGACTTCCTGCTCCAGACACTCTGAGAGATCAACGCTAACAGAAGAGCAGTGATGAACAACATGACTGCAGAAAACTGTGGAGCAGTTGCTGCGAACACTCAGATATCAGCTGAGAAAAAATAATTATTAACCACAAACACTTGATAACATATCAAAGAAATCACAATCACAGACGGTGATTATATTATGTTAGATATATTATATACAACATTGAAATGCAATATGTGCAACTGGTAAAGGAAGAGCTTATTTTAAAATACTTGCCGCTGCCTTTTATTAAATCAAATAATTATTAATATCTTATACATATCTGTAACTTTTATTTTGTATTTTATACCCATCATATTCTATTCAAGCCTTTTTGAATGCCTATTATATCGCTCTTCAACGTCTGTTTTAAGAAACAATGTTTATGGCATTTTATTATAACCGGATAGGGATGGGTACCGAGAACCGGTACTAAGTCAATACCGGTACCTGATTGGACGGTATCGGTATACCGTTAAGCCGCTGGACAAACGGTGCTGCTATCGGTATGTGTTACGTCTATTTCCTTAGTTTAACTTTAAACCATTCTGGTTGGTTGGGAACCCTCATCCCGTGTGATGTATCCGGTTTGAGACCCCTCTGATTGGCCACTGTAAATGCCACTCGTCATGTCTCTCAACAGCGCTCTTATTATTGTTGAGACTCCCGAAGGCATGGCGGACAGAGCGAAGCGATCGAAGGTCTGGGTGCACTTTAAAAAAATGTAGTGGCGATAGTGCAAGGTGCAATCTATGTACTCAATTAGTTGCTTGTAAAGGGGGTGACACAAGCAACTTAATGAAGCATTTGCAAACGAGACACTCATTGAATCTAAAACGGTGCTAGCGATACTGCTAGTGCTAATAGTGCTAGCGGGCTTCAGCCGCGCCGTGTGTAAATGTGACCTGAGCGAAGGCTCGCAGGCAGGTTAGCTGCTGCGCACGGGTAATATGTTTTTGTTTACCTGGGTGCAGTCTTGCAGGCACATCGCCTTGTCTTTTTTTAGTTTATTAACACCAAATTATTGAAAAGTATCGAAAAATACCGATAAGCAGTACCGGTACCGGTATCGATAAAATCCTAAAGATACCCATCCCTACACACAATCCACATAACGACCAGGGTCGTAACAGTTGAACTAAGGGTACAATGCACACAGGAAGTGCTAATAGCCCATTCGGCCAACTTGAAATGAAATGGTGATCCACCCACAAAATACAGTCTAAGCTTCCAAAGACAATAGCGTCAAAGTTAGTAACATGTATTTTAAGATTCACTTTGATTTGAGGGGGGCCCACAGAGTTTTCTGTAAATGAAATTGATTTCATTTGATCTTCTGCATGGTCCTCCCGAATCAAGTAAGTGAACACATATGAGGTATTAGTGATGCATACAAAGACACAGAAAGCAGAGTACGTATCAAACCATGGTACTATCATAAAAGCTATTTCAAAAACGTTTTGAAGACGATTGTAACAAATAAAAAATAAGGACAATATTTACACAAAATATGAATATGTGAGAAACTGAGTAGAGTAAAATATAATCAAATACGACAACTATTTTCAAAGTGAAGCGAGAAACTAAAGCATTGGTTTGTAAAATCTACAGAAGGCTCAACTCCTCACTGGCTTTTGAGCTCCTGCCAAATGGACTCGACTTAATCCATGAAAGCACAATGTAAGACTTACCCAAGGAATATAATTAATTATGTCATATTTTCATTAATGGCCGTCTGTTTAGGATTACAGCGTGTAATCCCTCACACTCTGTGGACCCGTCCTTGCGGTGTACACACAGAAGTTCATTCCGTCTTTCATGTGCTGCAGCTCATTAATCCAGAATCCTCCACCCACAGAACGCACATTTCCACTTTGAAAATCACCCGAGCTCGAACATGAAAGGCAACGACTTCGCTCCATTTTTCAAAAGAAACCGATTTGACAGCTCTGCCTTTCATCCGCGACTCAATCTGTGGCGATAATCCGGGGAGGCAGGAGCGCGAGCATATGTCTCCACAGCTGATGGGTGCCTTGAACAGCGTTGAGATGGAAGTAAAGTCATTATATAAATGCAAAGGTCTGGGGTGTGATTCCCGCTTGGGTCGTGAGAGGTCGAACCCCGGAAGAGACCCCAATTTATTCACAACCCGGCTTTAAGGCCAAGACAAAAAACGTGAAAGGAAACATTGGGTGAGGGTGGATTTAAGTATTTTCACTTAAAGGTCCCCCATTATCCTCCTCTTCATCAATATATCACAGGTCTCAGATATATCCAGAGCCTGTCTCTGATTGGCTGAAACACCAAGTAGATCATTGCAGCATTACCCATAATCCCCTCTGTTTCAGCCCTGTTTCCAAAGTGCTGATTCTCTGTCTGTAGAAGAGACATGAAGAAGAGGGGACACATGTTGATGTAGAAGAGACATGAAGAAGAGGGGACACATGTTGATGTAAAAGAGACATGAAGAAGAGGGG